TGGGACTCAAATAGTACAGCCAGCCATATAGCATCCAGCTGCCTTAATTACCTCCCTATGCCCTGGCCCTGACATAGCTTTTATTTTACATTACTGGGAATAAATATTCTGTGGTTACTATAATTGGTGAAGGTAAACATTTTGAGTGGTGGTGATCATGAGCTTTAACAAAGATGACTAAGGATGAACTATGATTACCTTTTTAAAAAGATGTTACTGCAAAGGTCAGACTTTAAATTGAGATATTAGGCTTATATACTAAAAGAAAATGTCATTTGTAGTTTCACATCATGATTTCTACAAATGAAATCAGAACCCTAACAGAAATCTAATGTTTGGTTTCCTGCAACTGTAACCTATTGGACTTATTTAGATGCAAAAGAGTAGAAACATGCATTAACATTAAGGCTATACAAATTTATGTAAATTCAAGTTGTTTAAAAAAAGACTATTCTACTCTATTACTGACATTAAAAGGTCCTGTGTAAAGATTTAGAATAACCTGGGCTTTCTGGACAAAAAGTTCAGATATAGGACATATTTTAATAATGATTAACAATGTATCACAGAAATGTTACTTAATAATTTAATAGTGAGGAAAAAGTAGAAGTAGAATTTTCACCTGTGGCCTGCTTTGTTATACTACCTACCTAACTTGTATTCTCAGTTACTAATTATTAATCATTTTGTTTCCAGTCTACCAGCTTAAAAGTGAAATACATGAAGCATACCAACATCCTTCTAGAAGCAAGAGCATTTTCCACTCTAACAAGTGAAATTAACTGAATAAAATTAAAAGCACAAAGTAAATAGTTAAAAAAAAGTCTAAGAACTATAAGGATATACTGTTCTTTTTATGCTACACTGAGAAAAAAATGCCTTTCTGTTAAAAAATGTATTTTTCTTAGTGTATATTTGGTGTAGAACAGTAGGGTCTTTTCTGCCTAGTCTGCAAAAACTGATGGGTGCAGGGTCCTTTGGCCACCATTATTTCCTTATTGCTGCAACTCTGCACAACAGCTGGCAAACAGCAGCTATCTCCCAGCCCCTGTTCTCAGTATGGGACAAGAACAAGGGTTGTGGTAATACTTGTTTATTCATTGATGTTGCTGCTGGTGCTGATGCTTTTTCTTAAACAGCAAGCTGAGAAAAGCATATTCAATTTGCACACAGGAAAAATGGTTCAAACCAACCTACCTACCAGATCTGCTTATATCACCATATGATAAACTATTAATATTTAAGAAATAATTTTTTCTTTAAAAACTGGGGTGGTGAGAGAAGACAAAATTAGTTTTGATTAGAAAAAAGAATCTATAAAGCATCTAAGGAGAAAAAAATGGCATGTAATAATCTTCAGTTCATTTTAGTTTCGACTACTCAATTATCAAAACTGTCCAGAGTTTTAACCAGTATCAGGTTGAGTTCATAAAGAGAGTATCGTTCCTTAGTTATTCTTCTGGAAAATATAAAAGTGTTCAAAGTCTAATCAAGAAATAAAATTATAGTTTGCTTACAGAAAGTCCCTGGCTCCCAGGTACCAAATATCTAATTACTACCATATGTTTGACTTCAGACACTATTAGCAAAGAAGTAAGATTATAACTCAGAAAGTTCTCACAAAAATCCCAACTATTAAAAAAAAACTTCCACATGCAATTTATCTCTTTAAATGTGCAATACAAATCTAAAAACTTAGTAATTATATATCAACTGATAATAAAAATATTTATTGTTAAATTATCTTCAAATATGATATGATATTCCTTAGATTTACAACTTTAAATTTAAATATAACTCATCTTTGAGTGCCTTAAAGCAATTTTTGATTCCAAAAAACTTTTGAATAGCTTTACTATAGAAAACAACAACAAAAAACCCCACACTGGCCAGAACTGGCTAGTGAGTTTAAATAATACCTAATCAGCAAAGGTAGGTTTGATATTTTTTAAAATAAAAGTATATAAATGGTAACAATATTTTAAATTCAGATCATATTCTAGGATATATATATATATAAACTTTTATATTCACCAAAATTTAAAAAGTAATTCTTCTGCTTAGCAGCCCAGAGAGAAACAAATAATGATAAAAATAATTCTGAGCTGAAAAGATAACTTTGAATATAGTATGAGAGCTATATAATAAAAAAGATTAACAGCAAATACTAAAGGATTTCTCATAAATAAGATACTAAAAAAGTAATGAATTATTAACTAATAATTCGTGGATTATTCAGCTCACCAACCATATTTGAATTAGGCCAAATGTTTCTCATGTAAATGATTATAACCATGAAAATAAGAAAGTAAAACTAAACCCAATAACATGTTAATGTAATGTCAAAGATGTGGTTTGTAGTGTTGAGAACAGAAATTTCACTTGCAATTGCTATTTAATAAAAATTTAAAACCCTCACATTAATAAAATATTGACTTCTAAAAAATGCTTATCAGAAAATATAATTTAAATCCATTTTGTCTTTAAGAAAAACAATGAAAGAGGTTATTTGGTAGGTCAAGAAAAAATACACATATAATAGTGTAGAAAAGAGCTTAAAATAAATTCTTAAAAATTTTAATAAAAAAGTGAATTATATCTGTTATATAACTATATATAATTACATAAGTAACAGCAACACTATAAAGCCTTAAACACTAAAAAACAATTTGTTAAGTCTCAGTAACATTATAAAACCTCTATTACAGAAAACTGTGTAGCTGACAAACTAAAGATTTAAACTGTCCTTATAAACTAGCAGTATATATCACTGACATAACGAATAATTTAAAATTCCTTATAAAACTATGTTAAATTACCTCCACTTTAGTTTAGTCAAATATTCTTTTTATCATAAGGACAACTATTTCAGTAAGACAGAAACAATGCAAGTATAACTATATTTTAGGGACAATTCAGAATTTCTCCTGACAGTGTTACTTCACCCTGATAATAATGCATTTAACAAAAATATAAACATTATTTAATGAGATACCAATCTATCATGGGGAAAAAGATAAAAAACATTAACACAATAAATGTCTTTCCCCAAATTCTGACATAATGAACTATTATATATATCAAGAGCTAGTTAGATAAAATCAGGTTTGCAAATTTAAAACAGCCCAATTCTCTATAAAATGCCTCTTCGGGGTAATTAAAAGGGAGCCAATCATATACAGAAGTAGAGACTTTTAATTAACCTGTCTCCTAAAATATCACTAAAATACTAATTAGGTCAAAGGTTCTCACTTTCTAAAAATTTATTAAATACAAGAAAATTGTTCTATTGGTGTTATTTTTTATATTAAATTATTATAAATTAAATATTAAGTTACAAATTAAATGTTGTAAGTTTATAAGGCAGTACTTAACTACAGAGATTATATGTGTTCAAACAATAAATTGATATCTTCAAAGATAATAAATTCATAAACTCTAATTATGAACAACTCTGTGGGTTTATATCTACATTACACACTCAAACACTGTTTTTCTTTCCCCATTTATCTCATTAAGGCTGTGTCTAAAAATATCTGGATTGAAAGTGCTAAAATGAACCTGTATTTTTTTTTTTCCAGACATGCAGGTAACTGTATTTTTCACTTTTCATCTTAATGTTCTCTAACTTAGAATGCACTGGTTATGTCACAGAAAGAAAAGCTAATTTCTATATTATTCAAACTAAGCTGCTTTTTTATAACATTCTCAAATAGAAGTTGTCAAGACGTTCTAACTGCCTCCTTGTAAGATGATGTCCATATAAAAATACCCAAAGAACTGCGCTTTTATGTTAAACTGATTTCTATTACATTTTAATGTTTTATGTAACCTAGACTCCTAATAAATTTAAACGCCTGAATTTATCTAATATCTAATAATATAGACAGTAAATTCCAGTTTTAAGTATTTTGGTATTTTGACATTCTTAACACATCTCAACATTCTTAAACACATCTGAGAATTTGTTTTAAAATATTTTACACTGTTTAAAGTTAAAAGCAGGTCTATGATCATAATTACACTTCACTTTAAAAATTAAGTTACACCTTTTTCATAAAAGGAAACCCTTAGGGTTTCTATATATTAAGGTGAAAAAAATTTAAAGAATAAGTTATACTGTTATAGTTTAGTAAATCTCACGTTATTTAGCAAGTAACTTAAAAAATTCATGATTAGTACTTTACCGTGAATTAACCAAGTAATACTTGGTAATGCTATTTAATAAGATCACTTTCACTATCCTAGATTACCATTTAGAAAATAAAAATTGCATAAATTTTATCTGAAAATTTCAACTACGACTACAAAAAAAAAAAAAAATCAAAGAAAAAATATGCCAGAAAAGTGGTTCTACAATAAAGTATTTTAAAGGTTAAGATGATAAAAGTCACTAGATGCTCACATTCTACAATTTTATACTTAGAGTTTGCTACTTAGGATATTAACAACTTAAAATATTTTACTGAGTACTTATGAGTCAAATACTAAATTTCTGCTTAAGAAAGTGAATTTTTCAGTTTCAACCAAATTGTCACTTTTGGTTAGGATAGTACTTGGAATACTTTAAGTGCTCTTAAAATATTCTTTTTATCTAACTTTTTAACCTAACTTTTCAGGCTTTACTCACTACTCCATCTGTCAAACAGCCAGCCAAGCACCAAATTCCACTTGATTTAAGATGAAAACTCCACTATCTAATTATTTTACATAGTTCATTATAATTACCTCTAGGAAAAAAGTCAACTTGTACTTACTTTTGGAATAAATAAATTCAGTTGGAATTGGTCCTAACATAAGATAGAATACCAAATGTATTAAAAAATCTGGGGTTTACATTTAATAAACAGGACAATTCTGTCTTGGTCACTTTGCAGAATTATTTCTATTAATAATTATTTATTGATTTAGTTCACTTAAAAGTTTCAGCTTCATCAATCACCAGTCTAATTATATTGCAAAGACATAAAATTATAAGACTTTAAAATTCATTAGTTTACCTTAATCTCTTATCATGTTCCAGCACATTATGTGAGTATTGAATCAAAGAAGTTAGGTTGTTCTCCGGGACTAGCTCTCTCCTAAAGGTCAAAACCTGAAATAAAAATGTCATGTGTTATAGCATGAAGACATTCAACAGATTTCCATCTCCTGCAGTTCCACAGTTGATCCCTGAACACAGAGGGTCTTCAAAATGAACTCATTCTTGACAATATTCAAAGAAGCTCTAACTTGAAAATAATGTTTTTAAGAAAGAAATAACTTGATTAGAGACTCCTGTGATGTGCTTTATCATCCAAAGCCTCTTTAAACAAATCTGATTAATATGTTTTTTTCATTTTTCTTTAGGGCATTCATTTTCTAAGCAGTGTGAATGAGAGAGCGGGAAAGGGAGAGTGTGAGAGATAAAAGAGTGTGTGTGTGTAGGTAGCTGTTAGAGGCTACGTAGAAGAGAAAGAACTTCATTAGAAAAAACAAAAACATCAGAAATACAGTTGCCTGTGCTAAAACTCATAACATCCACATAGTTTAAAAAATTTTTTCAAGCAATAAGAACAAAATTTAATCACCTTTCTTGCCAAGTTATCAAACATTTTAATGACAGGAATAACCATTATTTTCAATTTTAGTCTTTTGTGACGCCTGTGTGAATAATATCAACATTTCAAAATATTTTTATACACTATAGTTGGATCAACTTTAGAACTTATTTTTTAAGCAAATTAAAATATTTATATGTAATAAATGAACCACTACTGGACCAGATGTTTTTTTCAGGTCTCCCACTAGATGTGAGATGTAACTAAATGTATGTTAAGTGATTTTTCCATTTGTTTCTCCTTTTTGAATTTTAATGACTTAGAAGCAATCAACTATTAAAAAAATTAAATTACTCAAGTTTTATAATTTACTACATGTGAACCATAATGTTCTGAAGTAGCTTTCCATTTTAAGAATGGCTTAATAAATAATAAAAAAATGAAAACCAAAAAATCTTTATTTCTTTGCCTCCAAATATATGATTAATGACAAAAACCACATAATCATATAAAACTCATAAACATCAAATACGTCTTAAAAATTAAGCCATATAATCATATATAACTCATAAACATCAAATAGATGATAAAAAATTATATCTACATAATCTTCCTCAAAAAATAATGAGTTTTCTGTATTTGAGCACTAAAGACAAAGGTGTCATAAGTTAAAAATATCATAGAAGGAAAATAAAACAAAACATACTATATGTCAAATGTTGAGATTTTAGAAAACAAGGAAACAGAAAATACCAGTTAATAAGGTGGATATGAAGAAGACAAATATAAAATCAGAATGTATGATAAAAAGATGACATTTTAAAAATCTTCAAATAGTAAAATCCAAAATATCAAATCTATTAAAAAACATAGCTTATTATTTACACTTAGAAACCACTACAAATCTTTGCAGAACAAATGTTCTTCAGTGAAATAACACAGGATTAAACAAAGTTCTATTAAATTTTTCATGATTTCGCAATACTAAAAATAGAATTCAAATATATACACTTTTTATATCAATTCCAGTATTTGAAACTTGTCTTTCTAAAAAACAGATACTTTAAAGCATTTCTAATACAGGCAAGGCAAAATACAAGGCCCCCCCAATCATTTTTCAATCAATAAACAATCAGTATTTATGTGAAAGATCTGTAAAGTTATGTACATGTAAATAAATACATTAATAAAGTAATATTCTAAAATTGATGCTGCTATTCTTAAAAGAATCATGACTTTAAAGTTCTAATAGTGTCATTTCTAAAAATTAAATGCTTACTCTCTCATTTTTATTGCTTATTTAAAAGAAAGTGTTATAATCTGTTTTTTTCTAAAAAGGGGTTAAAAAGAATTCAATGTGGGGATTAGGCGTCATTAAACAAAGAAAAAAAAAGATAAAAGACATTTTAGTCCAGTAATATTTTAAAATAAGGGATATATTTTTATAGAATAGTTTTCAAAACATTGTCTAAATTTATAATTTTATTATCTTTTAATTGGAGAAAGCTTATGTGTCATGTAGAAAAAATATCTAACAATATCTAGGAATCCCTATTTTTGTAAACTAAATCAACTAACCAATATTTCTAGATTTAAATGTTTTGTGATGTTTTGAATATTTACTACATATACATAAACATAATTTAAAAAATACATATGCCACCACAAAACAAAAACCAAAAAAGTAGTTTAGAAAACATGATTAAGCAAGAGATCCAAAAAAAATAAAGGTACTTTGAAATTTTCATCCTTAGCTTTTATTCTTAATAAATACTAAAACTGATATCAATCTAATTAGATCAAAATGCAGTATTCAAACACCTGAAGCTACATTTGTAAAAGTACAACAAAGACAAGAGCATTAAGAAATAGTCTTAAACTGTATTTTTATTTGGATTTTCAAAAACAGTCTGAAAGGCAAACAAATAAAAATCAGTGCTTCCAGGAAGGCAGATACCTTACCTTCTCTTGTTTCCTTTCCCCCACAATATGTAAATATAGCTTTAAAAAAAAAAAGAGCTATAGTAACATCACCATTACCCACCATTGTTTCCCTGTAGTAATAAGAGACTTTTGTCATCCTTACAGTAAAACTGAAAATAAATCAAACTATCGATTTCTACAGAGAAATATGATTAATAAGTATATAAACATTTAAAAATATACATATATTGGAACTTATACAAACATGTTCACAAATCTAAAACCAAAATCTTTCTCTTAGGTAGTATGGCATAAAAGGGAAAATATTATGAATGCTGTGGATTTTATTTAGGTGCTACTGTATTCTCAAGTTTAAATTATTTTAAATAAATGAGTACTTCACCTCTTTAAAACTGGCTTATTAAATAAAACAATACTTCACCTATCACCCCAAAAGCAAACAAAAAATCCCATAAACCAAAGTGCTAAAATGGTACGGTTAAACTTAACCAGCCTAGGAATTTAAAGCCCCCAACCCCACGGTCACATAATTTAAACAAAAATTAAAATATAAAAACAAAACCAAAAGCCAGCACTAAAAAGCAAAAGCCATTGGTTCTGGTACTTTAGGTATAATTATATTTGAAACAGAAATGAAATCTACAATTTCATTAAATCAAATTTTATAGAGAGGATAATTAGCACCTTTTATGAAATTTTCATGAGATGACCCAAAATAAACAGCTTTGAAAAAAGGTAATGAACATGAGTTCTGTAATCACAATTCCTGTTATGAGTGCAATATAAACCAGTATTATTTACAAGCTTAGCTATTTCACTTATTAATATGTTACATTTATAGCCCTCCAGAGATTTGTAAGTCCTAAGATTTTTTTCATTGAATATTTCCTAACAATGAATATTTAACTTATTGTGAAAAAACAAATTATAAGCTTCAAAATCTCAACTACTATTCATAAATGTTTTTATTAAATTTAAGAAATTATTCTTTAAAGCATGTACAGCCATCTGTTTATCAGTGAGTTTACCACTTTTCTTTGAAAACCACACCCGCCTTTTATCAAGATGCAATTAAATGGAATGACAAGCTTGGTAATAAATAGAAATATATTGACGGCTGTCTCAAGCAACACTAAACAAAAATCAACTGAAAACCAACCAAATAAAACACAACACACCCACACTATTTTACACAATATATTTCCTTATAATGCATTTATCAAAGGAATGAAATCATATATACGCACCTGTACATACTTACCTGTTGTACTGTCTAAATTAAGAAACATAAATGTTTTGTAAATTAAAGTTTTAAGGCCAATGCAATGGCTGAGAAAAATCTATATATTTTAAATTAGACGTGAAAAGTTTAAAAAATATATCCATTTTTTCGGAAAATGTCCAACAGATTATTCGTTAGCATAAAGAAAATAAAAGTTTCTTTTCGTCAAAATAAAAGTTACAATTCTCCGGTAATCTTCATCCAACAAATATATGTAGTTTAAGAGGAAAAATTTCGACCAAAGGGGGGAAAAATCCCTAAATCTTTTACTCAGTTTTTAACTAATAAGAAACATCAAATATATAAAAGTCTTGTAATTTCAGACAGCAGTAATATTTTGCGAAAATAGGCTCATCAGTTTTACTTTTAATATATATTTCAGAACACCCTTAAGTCTTTTTATAGAAGGAAAAAAAACCCCTACCACACATCTACTTTATTTTTTCTAACTTCCCATCTTAAATGTTTCATAACTATTTCCGTGGTTCTCTCACTAAAAGTATACTTTTTCAGAAAGTCGAAAATTATAATCTAGCGTTCAATATTCAAACCCCCCAGGTCCCGCTCCCTTCCAGCCAATCAGGGGTAACAAGTCCGCTGTTTGCGGAGCTCCGTTAGACACAAATTTGAAAAACATCATATTGCGCTCTCCTATTCTCCCAGGAAAGATTCTAAGTGTGGGCTGGTCCTCAGTCTTCACAAAACTATAACAAATCAATCAATCGTTTTATCAATCCCGGAAGGGGGTGTGGATCTATATCCAGACAGTCCTAAAGAGTGGGTCACTGTGGTTTCCAGGAAGCGTTATTTCTCTTTCCGAACAATTGAATAGCTGCTGCTACAAGTATCTCCAGAACATTTATATTGCAGTCCGGAGCTGCGCGCCCCACACGCATCAAAATCACACCAGCAAAGAGTTAATCTAGTGATGCCTTCAGTGCGGAAAAGGACTCAAGAGCTAATGTATCTTTAACGCGCAATTTTTACAAAAGCCATTATCTGTAAAAGTTATGTTCGTGACTGGCTCAAATCATTCAAGAGTTGTCGAGTACGAATTGATACCACTGGCTTAAGAAAAAAAATCACTAAAGGGAAAGACGAATACACACCTCTTCCCTCCGCCTCAGCGTCAAGAGTTCCCAAGAAAAGGTGGAGATTGCAAAATTACCGTTAAGTTGTCCGGCAAAAGAGTTTTCGGGAGGAAAACATCAATACATTTCAGGTTTTTCCCCATTTGCGGCAAGTTTCAAAGACTGGAGAAGGAGAAAAAAAGAAAGAAAAAGTATTCTAAGAAAAGTGCGACTCGAAGGTAATAGCCAGGAGAAAAAATCGCTAGCTCGAAGCCCCATCTTTCATCTCACCCATGAACACCCCTCCCCCTCGAGAAAGGACAGCGCTGTGAGCGCAAGTGACAAAAATCCCGAGCGAGAAGCGAAAAGTCCAGCATCTTTCCGAAGAGCCCGCTATCACCTCGAGAGCCTGCCCCCGCCCCATCTCCCCAGCCTGCAAGTCCAGACGCGGTCAGGACTACGCGCGGGGACCTAAAAAAAGACTCCACGGGGAACCGGGCGCGCCGGGGGAGGGCGCGAGGGCTGGCGACTCTCACTCTTAGGGCACCTCAGGATCGGGCGTCAAAAGACAAGATAGGTGGCCGGGTGCTGGGCGAGGGCCAGGGTGCTGTCGGCCACGACCGACCCGAGGCACCCGTTACTCCGGGTCCTGAATTTTCCGTCGACCTGAAGTTTCTTGTCAGAAGACGGCCATCGGCGGGTGAGCAAATTCGAGAGAGAAGGCGGCTGGGATGGGAGGCGGGGGGAGGGGCGCGCGTCCCCG